TAAAGTCTTTTAACATTATTTAAATCTGTAAAAATAACATTATTTCACAGCTGTTTGCTGTCACCTGAAGGAAAAGTGGGTATATATAGTAAGGATTAAAAAACAGTAAATAATTCTTTTAACTCTTATTTTACAGATTTACAGATTTTTGTTTTGTTAAATTACATATAGAATCTATCTAGTAAAACTGCAATAATAATAAAAGTTTACATATTGACTGTAAAAAAAAAAAAACATGCCAAACTCTACATAATGTTTACTTCTAAAATCTTTTTTTTTTTTTAATAAGTAGTTATTTGTTCTTTTAAAATGTATGACCATAAAATTTCTTTAACTATATGTAAGTCTTTTAAAAAAAAAAAAAAATAAAAAAAAAAAAAAAAAAAAAAAAATAAAACAACAGATAACAGAAATTAGCAGGCAATGTAAAAAAAAAATAAAAAAAAAAAAATGCCACCACCACTGCAACAAGATTTTGTTTTTTGCAGCAGGACTTCGTTGTTAGTAGTGAGTGTTTGTTTTTTACAGTGAGAATAAATTTCTTTTCATTGTGAATTAGAAAGTGACCCCTTACTGAGAGACTGGTTTGCCCCCCAAGCAGTGAGCTGAGCATCGCTTTCCTAGAGAATGAAGAGAAGAGCTTCTTAGAAAGTTCACTTAGAAAGACTTTGTTCATTTCTCCCTGGAGGCCACATCTCTTGCCTCCTATCCATTCATACATTTTTTTCCTTCCTTGGTCTCTTATCGCATCACTTTAAAACCAGTCTAACTCTATTCAGTCTAGTGAGCTGACAACAACCACTACATCCTATAAAATGGCAAATATGCTATTTCATTTACCTACTAAGGATTAAATGAAAAGATTGATACCATTCTAATGTGTGTACAGCAGCTACACATGAATCTACCAACAGCAGCCAGACTAGCTTAGCTTAGCATAAAGACTAGATGCAGGGGAGGCCTGACTATGTCCAAGTTTATATAAAACTAAATCATCCTTGCAGCTCTGTGAGGATAAACCGTACTTAGCGGTGTTTTGAACTAAAGATTAACTCTAAAAGGCTAGCAAATCCACAATGACAGTGTGATAATGTTAAGCAGGTATAACATTTACAAGGTTCACCATAATTTACTGGAGTATTTCGGCCTCTTGCCCTGCTTCTAAATCACCTTTTTTTTCCAGCTTCATATTTATATGGCACAGTTTCTCATCAGATTAGGATTGAGAGGACTTGGTCAGGTTCAGGTTAAGTTTTAATGTGTCCTCAAGAACCCCAGCATCAAGACTGTCAAGATTAAAGTCAATCTAGGTTGCCTTTTTTTGAGCGACATTGCGTGCAGACCTTATCCCTGTAATCCACATTTACATAGTGTACACCACAGCCTTAATGTTGCTAAGTATGCTTTGTAACATACCGTTAAACTTCACATCGATTTGACCTCTCTTCACTCCTCTGTCCTGCAGTAAAGTGCCGTCGTTCGTCAGAATGTTGGCTCCAGCTTCGGCTCTCAATATCCACGAGAAAGCCTGGAACGCATACCCATACTGTCGCACAGGTAGTGTACACACAAACACAGATGTCGCACTAGCACACAAAATGCATGCAGTATGAAATATCAAACTTTCCGTACAAAGGGAATAATTGTTTTTGGCCACACAGAGTGAGTTCAGGTTTTATTAGTGACATAAACCTGAAGCTTGGGTTTCATAATATGACACCTTTTCAGACCTAAACTGTAGCCATACCTGACTTAGAGCTGTAGGAAATATGAAAATATTATTGATACGATTGGTGTGATGGGATGTTAAGGACATAATGCTGCTACACACCATCTTCCTCCATTTAATTCAAGAAAAATGCAATTCACTGAAAAAGCTTAAGGCCAAATATGCTGATCTGTCTAAGCACTTGTCGTCTTCTGAGTCTCTCCCTCACACACACACACACACACACACACACACACACACACACACACGCACACACTCTTTCTCCCTGTGTGTCTCCGGGCCTCTGTCACCTTGAAGGAGTAGTTGAATAATTTACTGTATGTCCAGTGAGAAGAGCAATGCAATCACTTGAGCCTTTTAGGCCGAGATCACACACACACACACACACACACACACACACACACACACACACACACAGCCAGCTGCCAGACAGCCATCTGTCATGCAAACACACACAGGACAGTCAACGGCACAACCTGAACGGACACTCACGATCCTCACCGACAAACACTGTGTGTGACAACTCCTCTTGACTCTGTGCATTGTCCAATACTGTAAATGCGATTGTCACATGCTCCTCAACTGCATTATTTTTGTATCTCTCTCTGCTTGCTCCTGCACTTTCTGTCATCTGGCTCTGCAGTTATCACTGTAAGTATTTTTCTTTTTTGTGTGCGCTTAGAAAAAACAACAAATGCATGTATGTTGACGCACAGGACACGCCAAACTCTGATGCACATACAGGGAGCAGGTGAACTGGAAAGCCGAGAAAGAAATTTGATCTATTTCAGTGACACAGCAGCAGCAGCAGGGATAAGTCAGACACCGTTACTCCGTGTATGTGTGCGTTTGTGTTGGTGTGTGAGAGCAGGCGACTGACCTGTGTTAATTATACTTTTATGGTGTTTCACTTGCTTACATGTTATTCTGTACTCGACCCTGTTCACTGAGAAGTACCTGTCTTTTCTCTCTGCAGAACGAGTATATGAAAGATAACTTCCTGATCAAGATTGAGACATGGCACAAACCTGACTTGGGACACCTTGAAAATGTAATTATTAAAGATGATAATGGGCTGTGGAACTCTATGCATGTCTATGTGAGCAGCCACAGGAACTGGAATTAGTTTGCACACATGCTCCTGTTTTTTTTTTGCCACTAATGGCTGTTTTTGAATCGTATCTCTCATCTGATCCGGTTTTTGTTTATAGTCTGTTTCCTCTACTGCTAGCTGTGTTTCCCTCTGCTTCTGACTGTTTGTCTCCTAATCAAAGGCTGTTCTAAAAATTCTTGAAACACAGAAACAATCCCCTCGTTATGGGCGCTCATGATTACTGAAGCAGTGCTCCTATGTATATATAAATAAATATGAACGTGCAAAATTGCCAAAAGAGGCTCCACTAATTACAAGAAGAATAGCATAACTTTCTACATTTTCACTTTCATCATGTAGGCTTTCAAAAGCATGTTGCCTCTGAGTCTGTGTGGTATTTTGGCTGCCTGCAGAGACTTATGTGGCTGTGGTTCTGTTTCAGGTACATGGTTTGGATGCAGAAACCTGGAAGAAGGTGGATGTAGTCTATATTGATATTGCAGACAGATGCCAAGTGGAGCCAAAGGTGAGTGAATGTTAACTTAACCTTGTGAACCCCTGTTTTTACTCATAATGGGCTCATTTTTAATGCAAGTCCTGCACCTCTATGGAAGCATCACACCCATGGTTTAATATAGAGAGAATTTAAACTTTACTTTCATGCAGTATACAAAAGTTGTAGTGCTATGAATCGAAACAATTGGGAAAAAAATGTCTTTGATTATTTATTTTGAAAAAAAAAAATGGAGTCAACATGCACAGGTTACCAACACTTTACATTCTGTAGATACTTTAGAATTTGTTTCCATTCTTATCTGTGTAAACACAGCCTGCAGTTCAACCTAGATCAGCAAAAAAAATCCCTGAATTTTAGTTACCCGACTGTCAGTCACAGCTTAGTCACTTGTGACCTCTTGGATTTTTTATTATTTTCTTTTTTATAAAATCTGATTTATGCAAAACGTTTATATTTGGCAAATTTTCAAACGAGACGTGTAGAATAAAAGCCTGAGTAAATGCATTTTAATGGAATATCAAGATGTTTGCTCGCAGATGAGTGGTTCAAGGACTTTTGGAAAGTTAAAAGACCAAAAAACTTCTAGCTCTGGTGAATGGTGTTTGTTTGTTGTTGTTTTTTTTTGTTTTCTTAGATAACAGGCTTTTCAAACACACTGGCGGAAGGCTAAAGATCCATATTGAGATGATTACAACAGCTCGTCATCTTGCTTTGTGTGTCACCTTATCTGGTTTTTATGGTCTCACTTCAGGACTACAAGCCAGAGGAGGATCCTTGCAAGTTCAAGTCAGTGAAGACAGGACGAGGACCTCTAGGACCCGACTGGAAGGTACAGCGTCTTGTTGAAACAGTGTCACACACAGGAGGCATAATAGCCTGATACACCAAGATCACCAACCACTTCACTAATAATTACCGATGTGGGAAGAAAAAAAAACATTATTCGCACTCCCACTTGTTGCTTAGCAACTATGATGTTCAGATAGTGTTCCCTGGTCAGTACAGGACAAACATTTTGTCATCATGTAGTCTGGGCCAACGATGCTCTTGAGGACACTGATGTCCTCTGTCAGTTTTCTTCAAATGTGTTGGTTTTATCCTTTGAGGCCTCAGAAGGAGTGACATGTTACAATAAAAAACAAAACTACATCTATAAAATATCCTCTTATTCAGACTTAGTAGATATCTTAGTATTTTTTTAACTCATTATATTAAAATTTAATTGTTTACATAAGTGTCTACATAAGTAGATTACAAAAAATAAAAAAGGATTTCTTATTTCCTTCCTAATTTAACCCTCTGAATCCGAAGCAGTGTTCTGGCACCGTTTTTTACTCACTGTGGGTTCATTTTACACTGCAATATAGAGTCCTGCACATCTATGGAAACAGCACAACCATGACTAGAAACTTTAAAATCAACTTAAAAATACAGTTCTGTACTTTTCCCCATATCTGTTCTGTGTAAACGCAGCCTGCAGTTCAGCTCAGTTCAGCTAAAAGTCCCTGAATTTCTATCACATGAATGTTTTTTTTTATAGTTGCATAGACAAGTGCAAAGTGTTTGCTTTTTAACATAACTTAGCTTTATTGGGGCTTTTAATCAAAACATGTTGAATAAAGTGATTTCAAATGGAAAAGCTTAAATTTAAGCTTAAACATTTTTGCCTAATGAAATTCTAGTTCTTAAACTTGGCATTAATACATTTATGATTGCAAGTTAAACCGTATGTGGGAGTCGGTTTTGTAAGCTTAAATTTGGATAATTTTTCTGACCGAAACAGCACAGGTAAGTAAGTCAAGGACTGTTGGAAGGCTGAACATTAGCCATTTCTTTTTATAATATCTGACTCCGATAAATGGTATAATTATGGTGATTTTGATGATGCAAGATTGTGGTTTTGTTTTTTGTGGTTTTGATTGTGGCCCAGAGTATTAATAGTGTGGAATGTGTAGAAAGAGCTTTAAAAATGTTTTTAGATAAGTTGTATTATTGGACTAATCAGCTGGACTCAAGAGCTAAGGGTACATTTATTTATCTTTTATTAAAATTCAAAAATTCCTGTGTGTGTATTTGTACCTGCAGAAGGAACTTCCTAATAAAAAAGACTGCCCACATATGTGTGCCTACAAACTGGTCACTGTCAAATTCAAGTGGTGGGGCCTGCAAAACAAAGTGGAGAACTTCATTCAAAAGGTTTGTTGACTTTGTGAAGTTTTTACTTACATTTGTTATGACATTCAGAAAGCCACAGGTCAAGGCCAGCTACTGAGGAGAATCTGTTGACAGCAAGAAATGTGTTTTTTGTGGACTACATGTCCGTTGTGTGTATGTGTTATAGTGTAATATGTGCTGCACCAGCCTATTGAGGATGAACAGAGTAAAGCAGGACAGAATTTTATATCTCTGATGCTAAAACATTCAGATTCCTTCAACCAGAATATGACTTTCTCGATTTTCTCCTTTGTCGCCTGACAGCAAGAGAAGCGTTTGTTCACTAATTTCCACCGTCAGCTGTTCTGCTGGATCGACAAGTGGATTGAATTGAACATGGAAGACATTCGTCGCATGGAGGAGGAGACACGTAGGGAGCTAGATGAGGTAAGTCCATTGTTGATGATTCTATACAGGTGAAACCAGACGTTTACAGACACTGTATAAAAAGACACAAATACATTTTTTTCCCTCAATGTCTGACATTAAATGTGACTAAACGTTTCCTGCTTTAGGTCAGTTAGGATTACCAAAATTATTTAGATTTAGTAAATACTAGAATGATGAGAGAGAAAAGTTTTTATGACTTTCTTCTAAGTCATAAGTTTACATGCATTTCCTTAGTATTTGGTAGCGTTGTCAAACGTTTTGGGTTTCCTTCCACAAGTTTCTCCCAATAGTTTGATGAATTCTGGTCCATCCCTCCTGGCAGAACTGGTGTAACTGAATCAGGTTTGTTGGCTGCCTTGCTCCACACACCTTTTCAGCTCTGCCCACAAATTTTCTACAGGATTGAGATCAGAGCTTTGTGATGACCACTCCAAAACACTGACTTTGTTGTCCTGAAGCCTCTTTGTAACTAATCTGGCGGTATGTTTAGGGTCATTTTCCATTTGAAGACCCATTTGTGCCCAAGCTTTAACTTCCTGGCTGATGTCTTGAGATGTTGCTTCAATATTTCCACATAATCTTCTTTCCTCATGATACCATCTATCTTGTGAAGTCCATCAGTCCCTCCTGCAGCACAACACCCCCACAACACGATGCTGCCACCCCCATATTTCACAGGTGGGATGGTGTTCTCAAGCTTGCAAGCTTCCTTCTTTTTCCTCGAAATGTAGCGATGGTCATTATGGCCAAACAGTTCAATTTTAGTTTCATCAGACAGCAGGACATATCTCCAGAAAGTAAGGTCTTTGTCCCTGTGTGCATTCAAAAACTGTAATCTGACTTTTTTATGTTGCTTTTGGAGAAATATCGTCTTCCTCTCTGAGTATCCTTTCAGCCCATGTCGGTACAGAACTCCTTTGACTGTGGATAATGACACTCTGACCAGCTTCAGCAGCATCTTCACAAGGTCTTCTGCTTTTGTTCTGGGGTTGATGCACACATTTCACACCAAAACACTTCATCTCTAGGACACAGAACCTGTCTCCTTCCTGAGCTGTATGATGGCTGGACATTCCCATGGTAATAATACTTGTGTATAATAGTTTAAATAGATGAACGTGGAACCTTCAGGCATCTGGATTTTGTACCCAAGAATGAACCAGACTTGTGGAGGTCCACAGTTCTCTTCCTGATATCTTGGCTGATTTCTTTAGATGTTCCCATGTTGTCACAAAAGGAAGCAGTGTGTTTGAGGTGTGCCTTAAAATACATTCACAGGTGTTCCTCCAATTAACTCAAATGTTGTTAATTATCTTATCAAAAGCTTCCAAAGCCATGACATCATCATCTGGGCTTTCCCAAATAGTCTGAAGGCACAGTAATCTTAGTGTATGTAAACTTCTGACTTTGAAGAAAAGAGTAAAAAAAAAAAAAGTTCTCTAAAAAATTCTCTCTCTTATTATTCTGGCGTTTAGCAAATAGAAATAATCTTGGTAATCCTAACTGACGTAAAACAGGAAAAGTTTAGTTTGATTTAATGACAGACAGTGAGAAAAAAAAAGGTTATATGTCTTTTTATGTGTTTTTCTACAGTGTATGTAAACTTCTGGTCTCAACTGTATATGGATCTGTTTATGAGTAGATGTAAACATATACTGAAACCAGACATCTGTAAGGACACACTCATTTCTGGATGATAATAATAGGATTTCAGAATCAGCTACAATATCCGTTTGTGTGACTTGTTTTTGCTGTGTTTGTCAGATGAGAGTGAAGGACCCAGTGAAAGGCATGGTGGCTCTAGAGGACTGAGGTTGTGTCAGACCGTGAATGCTGCTGCTCATCAGGTGAGAGGAATACAAGTGTTGCATTGTATTTCAGTCAAACATTATGTTCTGTACTTCGACTGTCCCGTAAGACACATTTTTTTAAAAACATCAGACTGATTTAGTTCCTGGAGCCAAGATAATGTCTTCACTGTGTTTGCTTTCTTCAGCCGGTGTTCCAGAAACCAAAAATATTACATTTACAGCAATATACAACACAGAACACAAGAAAGTTTGAATATTTGAAAGACTGGAAAGAGAGAGTTACTTTTATCAGTCACCAAATGTGGTGATAAATTGTTTAAGCACTAAGTTGATTTGACCAGTACCAGCATGGCAGATACTATTTAGGCCTTTTGACGAACCATAGAAAGTAGTTTTAAGTCAGCTAATAAGCACCAAAACATTACAAAGGATATGTTTGAGGTTATATAAGATGACACTCAGTACACATTTTGGTCAGAATCTACAACAGTTATACATTGTTACTGTAAAGTTTTTACAGGCTGCCTATTATGAGAATGATTATGATTATTATGATGATGATGATGATGATTATTATTATTATTATTATTATTGCAGATTATCCACATAAAGGCCAACTCTCCTTTAAGCTCTCTTTATTTTCCATCAGCTCCTGAAGAAAATATGCCACTTTTTAGTAGATTCTTAGCTATGATCATCACTTAGTTGCGAACTCTGTCTGGAGTTTAACTACATTTTCAAATGAAGCCACTAAATGAGCGTATAAATATGTAAAAGTGCTGCGACGCTGGATGTGTTCCCTACATGATCTCTGTCTCATCTTTCAGACCAGAATACCCAGACACCAGCGGATTCACATCCTCCTTTTGTCTCAACTGACACAACATCTGACCGGCCAGTCCAAAAACCCTCCTCCCGCAGTACAATCTGGTTTTCAGGGACCTGGACCCAGTAAAACTCCCAGTTTTCAGCTGATCTCCTTCACCCCCCCATCTTTCCTTCCTCGAGTCCCATCTGTCCTTAATTTATTTTTCTCCATCTAGTGAGCCCATCTTATTAACTGCTCTGAGGCCTCCAGTAGCAACATTATAGATCTCGTCAGTCAGTCCTCTCTTTCTCTCTCTAAATCGTTCTAAACTACAGAGAATAGTGGTATTTATCTCTGCAATTTAGGATTTATTTCTATTTAAGATATCCCAATGGTGTATATATACAGTATACAGTATATCGGGGAGCTGAATAATTGTATTGAAGTATATATATATATATAAATATATATAAACAGGGTTTTTAAAAATGATTCTGTAAGATTGTCTGTGGATGTTTATTTTTTCCAGACAAAGCTGTGTCTGTGTCTGCTCAGTGTTGCGTTTTGAGCCTGTAATTTTCTTTCTTTTTTTTTTTTTTTCCCTTTTTTGATTTGTCATAGTACCTCCTTCTCTCCATTTTTGTGTCAGGCTTTATGCAGTGTTTCCTTTTGTCGTTCAAATCAAGTTGCAAGTCTTCAAACCACAGCTGCAAGGTCCGAGAGTCGTCTCCGCTCCTGCTCCCGACCTAGACCAGATAGCGTTCTTTTTCTCGGTATCTTCCTCGATATGTTGAGGCATCCTTTAGCTTTTCTGCTGCTTTGTGAGTTTGTGTGTGCGCGCTTCTGTTTGTGTGTGTGTGTACATATATATATATGAGTGTGTGTGTGTGTGTGTGTGTGTGTGTGTTTCTGTAGCATTGTTAGGTCATCAAGGCCATATTTTACTTTTCAACTAATCGTTTCTACGCTCTTCGGTTTCATCAGGCTGTACAGACTGCTCAAAAGTGCGATAATGGAAGATCTCGTCTGAATAGAAATATACAGTAATGCATATACACAAATACAGAGAGAGAGAGATCGTCTACAAGGATACAGGTCAAATGTATCACACTGCAATGGAAACTTTTACTGTAGACAACTGGAACAGCCATAATTGAGTGTGGGACTGTCTTTTGTTTTCAGCCTGACAGTGACTTCATGAGTTCTTGCCCTGTCTCCCATTGTGTCATCTCCAGTGGATAAATGGTCTTATCCAGCAATAGCAATAACTATCATGACACGTTGGTCTCTCCGTTTATCATTTGCAAATCTATCTTACTCTTCAGTTCGTCCCCGAAACCAGTTTTAGCAAAAGCAGAGCTGAAAAGTCGCGAGCAGTTAAGTTGTTGAGTAACTATTTATTAAATGGCAGTTTTATCGTGTCCGTCTTTTGGATGAGGTGGTTTTCTCTCCTGCTGGAATCTGAAGCCTGTAATTTGTATTAGTGTGGTGTTTTGGTATATGCATGAGTGTACACGAGTGATATACAGTCGAGTGTGTCTTTTGCAGAGAGCTGATGCTAGCTGGGTAAGGAAGCGAGGAACAAATGAGGCTAGAGGAGTGATAACAGCAGGCACTCTCCTTCTTCCTCTTGTTAACGTCTGTTTGGCCTCTTCTTTTTTTTTTTTTTTTGGTCTTCGGTTACCTTTGTTTCCCATCTTCTGTTTACTTCACATCCTCCACGTATTTCAACAGTGTGAAAAACCTTCAAGAGCAAGCAACAGATAATGTCAAGAGGCCATAATAATATAAGTGGCCCACAATTAATATATTTAGATCATAACAGAAACTGCCATAAGAACAAGAAGATGATTATCAGGTTCATGTCTTGATTATTGCATATAAGATGTTAAGAGCAGACTTTTTGCACTAATAAGCTAATATTAATGACTGATAAATACACTAATAATTTTCTAAACCACAAAATAAAGTAAAAAATTATTTTATTTTTGGAAATGCATGTACACAGTTGACATCACTGTAGCGTAACCGTGCACACTAGCGTGGAATGTGGTTGAATGTTTAAAAGTAGAAGTATCCGTTCCACTGAAGGGCTTTCCATTGGCATGTATTAAATAAAAACTGCACTAAGCTCAGTTTTTCGATTTAAAATAAATATGCTATGGCTGGATATTGAAGTTAATTTATTTTTGTAGTATGTTACTGATCCGTCCCTACTACCGACTACTCTTGCTACGACAACAGCTCTGCAGCTGTGACGTTTTTATCTTCCAGGGCCCACTGAATTAGGATGCGTCATCACAATTTTGGTGATGAAACTCCTAAAAATGCAAATGTTTTCCGGCAGGTTTCCAGCAGTTACTTCCATTTGTTAATCTGAAGGTCTGTTCCGTTTCATTTATATACTAAGAGTCAGCAGGGACACATTGAATTTAACTGACATTATTTGACAGATAGTAGGAATAATCCTTCATACATGCACATATGTGGTCTGCTGATGCACAGTATCCAAGAATCCAAATTGAACACTATTTTATTGGCCAACAACATCTGCAACATTGAAAATCTACTTTATTCCATCTTTTGCCACTTTTTTTTTGTAACGTCTCTGTGTGTCAGATTAACTTGATAAGGCCATCATTGCAAACCATTTTCTGTTGCCTCCTCTTTGAAGTTAAAAACACTCGCCCTGGATGTCCGACCCCTCCACCTCTGTGTCCACGAAGCATCTCACTCAGTGTCTGTGATGGGGCTACCAACTGAATCATGGAGATTTGTGGATGTACTGTATGTATTTGACTTTGTAAATAGTAAATAAATTAATGTAGATGAACACATATATATAGATCAGACTGTCCTGCCAAACCTACAGCACACCCCTCTCGACACTCGATCCTCTTATTTCCATCGCTAAATGTTCGGCATTTACACAGACCACAGTGACCGAGTTGTGAGGAAATGTAGAGTTATAGCTGCTGAAATTTAGTGCTGATAAGACATTGTGAGGAGTATTGTCAGCTGTAGTCATTAAAAATGCATTCTTACATATTGTTAGAGATGATTTCGCTGCAGATTTTAGAATGCTCCGACAAAGTTGTTGTTGTGGTTTGTATCTGGAGGAGAGGAAAAAAATAATAAAAAATTAAAAGCGAAGCAAAAACCCTGTTCACTATCTCCTGTCCTCACGTTATTCCCTCAAAGGAACCACGTCTCATTGGCAGGACAGTGCATAAATATATATTTTTGTTCTGAATGTTGTTGTACCTCTGTTGTCAGTCTCTGAACTACACTCGCTTCTCTCACTGAAAAGGAACATATAACGGCAGCTTGGGTCAGTTCATTGATCCATAGGATTAGCTGATTTTTAGCCCTAAATGGAGCCTCGGTGCAAGTTAGATTTTTTGCCCTCCTGTGGTTAGCAATGGGGATCAAGGGGTGATTATTCTACATTTCGGAGCAGCTTCGACCGGGTGCTGGAGTGTCAGAGTTTATAGCTACTCAGAAAAAAAATAGTAATAAAATAAGCAAAGACAATTAAATGTGGTTGTTTGAAAACTGATACTGACAGTAGGTCCATTTTAAGAGTCTGAACATACAAACTTGTGAGAGAACATGGTTTAACAGAGACAATCTCATAGATACCTGTTGTTAGATTCCTCGATTTATAATCAGAGTATGAAACCAAATGATTCCATAATCCCAAACTGTTTTTAACTCGTTAAATCTCTCTCTCTCTCTCTCTCTATCTCTCTCTCTTACTTTCTCTCTCACTCCTGTTAACTTGTCTCCTGTTTTTCTTTCTTTTATTGTGAATTTGTGCCTTTTTGTCATCTTCTAATAACACTACTGTACATTGGAGACGTAAAGAAATGAATAAAAAGAAGCAAAGCAACTGTATTTAAGTTTGATATGAATGGTTTTTTTTTTAAAACACAAGAGCTATAAAGTTTTTTACCTATTTACAGTTGTGGCGAAAGGAAAAACAATATCGATGATTTATCGAAGGGGTTTTAGTGCATGAGTGCACTGTAGCAGCTTCAGGTGTCATTATGAGACCCGAGAGTTGGACATTTTGAAAACTGCGTTCCCATTTGTAGAAAATCTTTAAGAAGCGGATTTGGAAATATTGGAGGAAATAACTGTGTGGTTCCACATCTTTGTGTCCCAGCCGGTGGGGTTTTAGTTCACCAAGGAAGCACCAGAAGTACAACAACTTGGAAAAAAAAACTTTCTTTACACTGTAAAATAATATGAAATGTTGCAGCACTGTACCATTTTATATTATTTCACTGCATACTGTAGTTTTGTATGCATACTGTAATGAGCCTAACAAATGCTTCAAAGGCATTTAATTGATTTAAAAGAAGGGGATTTTACTAATTTATCAGTTGAGATTTTAAAAAAAACATCTATAAAGCAATTGGACATCAATTCAAAAAGGAAACGACACATCTACATTAAATAAATAAATTGATTAATGTACTCAATATTTTTATTTTTTTTTGATTATCAGAGGTTAATTAAAGCCACAAAATATGCAATTTCAATATTTGTCTTTCGTGCCCTAACTGGAGCTCTCAGAACACACACACAGCAGCAGACAGCATCCACAACACACATGTAAACACAAACACTGTAGGCAGGGTAAAATTAATCAGGCTTTGGATGGCAAAGATTACTTTAAATCCTGATTATGAGGCAGAAGAGGGGCCAGGACAGAGAGCCGCTACACATTTTGTGAGATGTTGATGAGACTCTGCTCAGTGTGTGGGTGTTCGAGAGGAAGTATTTAGAACTGCAAGCCTCTGTGAACTATTACGGTTATTTCACTTATGAGGAAAGAAATGTTTCAATCACAAAAAGTGTAAATCCTGCTTTTTAGAAGTTATTTTCAGTGTCTTCTGTCCAATGTTTTTCTTTTTGTTTAAACCAAAATAATGATAATTTTAAAAAATAGTTATTTTCTCTACAATGAAGATACAGTTATAGATGTTTATAGAATACATAGAATACAACCTATTTTTTAAAGACACATTTGTCAGTGTCATACAGATCATGAAGAAAAGGAGTCTGACTGTGTGCTTCTCTTTTAGAATAGTTTGTGGGAGTAATTTGACATTTTGGATTCCACTCTTGTCTATGTGACTTTAACTGAAAACACATCTGAAACTCAATTGTATTCTTTGTTTTTCTAATTCATACAAAGAGTTTGTGTGTTAAAGTATAAAAACACCAACTTGTTGTGTCTTTGATAGGCCCAGTGGTGTTTTCTTTTTTATGTAAGTGATGCAATGGATAATTTATCTCATTTTTGTTTGAATTTTGAAGACGTTAATAGGAATATTATTATT